CCCCCCCCGCGGCGGAGGCGGGAGAGAGAGAGAGGAGGCAGGCTCGGAGGCAGGCTCGGCAGGCGGGAGGGGAGGAAGCGGGCAGGGGCTGGGCGGTGATGCCGGTGCTGCCGCAGCGCTCGGCGGCCCCGCGGCCGCCCCGCAGCCCCGGCGCGGGCGCCCAGCGCGGGGCATGAAGTGGCGGCGGCGGAGGGAGCGCGGCGGGCGGAGCGGGGCGGGCGGCCCCGGCCGCGCCTCCTCTGCGGGGCCATAGTCCGGGGCGGGCTCCGCTGCTCAGCCTGGGCGAGCGGTTCTGCTGCTCGCCAGCCCCGCTGCTCGCCGGCCCCGCGCTCCCCCAGCCCCGCGCTCCCCGCGCTCCCGCCGCGCCTCGTCCCCGGCCCCGCGATGTGCGCGCAGCGGGGCCCGCTCCCGTAGCCCTGCGGCTGGCGGGGCCCCTCGGGAAGTTTGATGGCTTCTCTGAGGAGAGTCAAAGTCCTGCTGGTGTTGAACCTCATCGCCGTGGCTGGCTTCGTCCTCTTCCTGGCCAAGTGCAGACCCATCACGGCCAAGAGTGGAGACTCCTTCCATGACATCCATCCCAGGGCAGAAGTGGCCAACTCGACAGCCCACGGCGGCAGCTCCATCCAGGATGCGGTGCTGAAGAGGCTCTCGCTCCTAGAAGACATAGTCTACAGGCAGCTGAATGGTAGGAATAGTTCTCCTGCTTTAAATGCCTTTTGGGAATGGTCGTGGGTGGTGAATCGAGGCTCAGAGCAAGTGCCCGGCTCGCTTGAAGTTCGCATGCCAGACCCGTGCTTTTCTCTGTGTTATTGTGCAAACGGGGTCTGAATCAATTTAGCACATGATTTCCAAGTTCCGTGTGCGTTTAAAGCCCGGAGTACCTTGCACAGGATGGGAGGAAATCGTAATAACAGAATGCTGCCTTTGAGATTTAGAGCAGCGCTCAGGAGATGACAGAGGCACGATTTCTGCATCAAACGAGCAGGGTGTGCAGTGGGCGAACATGGGTTGGAGGAGCACAGTGTGTATTGATTGAGGGAATGGCTTTTACTCCTCCAGAGTTGGGTTTTTGGAAAGGAGTTTTTAAACGGCTCAAGTGTGTTGCATCATTGGAGTGCAGAAGGTCAGAAAGCAAAGGCACTTTCTCTGTGAAGTTAAGCAAAGTATTCAGTATTTCCTATGGCTCAGCACTGACGACTGCTAATTAAAATCTCAAGTAATGCTTCTCTTTATAGCACAGCAAAGGGATTTCTATTAAAATCTCACCAGGTTCAGTAGTTCCAAGATGTCAAAAGGGAGTTTTAAAGATGCTGTGCAGGATAGAGAAACATGTTGTAAAGACATAAGAAATCTGGCTGAGGTATCTAATTAAAACACTCATTGTGGAAGCTGATTTTTTTCAAGTTGTTCCCCATAGATTCCCAACTGGGGTTGGTCTCTGAGCCAAGAGTCCTGTTTATTGCTTCCAGCCTCTGTAGCTTTAACACCTGCAAGTCTTCTAGAGTCAGAATTAGCAGAGTTAAATGTTTTTTTAGCCATGTCAGTGTGATTCCCTCTCTGAGTTTTGAACATGAAGCTGATGCCCGGTTCTGTGCCGTGTTGATCCGAGAGCTGCTGTGCTCTGAGTGCTGAACTCGAGCTCGTGCTGCTCTGACTTCTGCACCTGGGAGGTGAGGCAGGTGCAGGAACGCAGCGTGCCCTCCCTGTGCCAGTTGGCAGTGCCCTTCCCTGTGCCCAGCCTTGGCTGAGTCACTGTCTGGGCTTTGGGGATGGCACTGGGCACAGTGAGAAGCAGGAAAGTGTTATTTATATTCCTGCCTTACACACTTGCATGAGGAACCCGTCCTGCCTGTGCCCGGCACCGTGAGATGTTGGAGCAGCACTGTTGGCTGACAAATGTGGTGAAGCGTAAGAATAACAAGGAATAAGGTAGAAAGCTGCATGTTATTTATAATCAAACTGTTGAAACTGCCTGCTCCTGGATTTGCTAGGGCAGAAGTTGCTGGGGAGATCTAGGCAGTTATTTAAAAACAGGCAATAGCTGCAAGACAGGAGCCCTCACGCCAGGACCTTGGACTAGGACAAGTAATCATGATGCAGTCTGCCCTTCCCACAAATACACAGGGAGAGCCGAAGTGATGTTGCCCTTCCTCGGTGGCTCCCTGCTCTGCTGTGCTCTGGGGGCTGCTCTTGGGGCTGGCTGGGGTTGTGAGAGGAGCTGGGAGCTCAGGACAGCTCTGTACTCTCCTCAGGCTGCTCTGGGCACTGGGAGCACGTTCTGGTGTTGTACTGGAGTCTGCTCAGTGCCGAGGAGCAACGATGCACCTACAGACCAGGGGAGGCAGAGAGGGAATAGAGATCTTGCCCATATCACAGATGTTTTCCTAGGGCAGGCAGAAAGCTGAGCACATAAATGTGACATCTTGTCTGGCCTCTGCATCCTGGGGTGATTTATAGCAACACTGATCAGTCTGGCTAAAAAATAGCTCTGGCACAGTGCTTATGTAACTTTGGGTCAAGTGTATCTTTGGCACATGTGGTTTTGAGAGGAGCACAATGTGCCCAGTTCTCTGAGTGATGTCTGTGTGTTGTGCTTCAGCAGGACAGGGGTTCAGAGCAAGATGTGGGGGCCAGGTGAACCCCCCATCACCACTGAAAGGGAACAGTGAGGTGTGCTGGGACAGTCCCTGGGAGTGGCTGGTCCGGCTCCCGTGCCAGGAATTTTCTGTGCCTGGATCATCATTCCTTCTGGGTACTTGAGGAGAACCTAAAGCTGAAATCCTGCTGCCCCCTTGGAGTGTGCAAACATGAGTTCACTCCTCCTCTTTGATTTTTGGCTGGGGGAGTTGTGTGCTGGTGCCTCACCAACCCCACCTGAGCTTTTGGCCAAGCCCCTGCAGAACAATCCACCCAGAGGTTGTGTAAGGTCGTATTTCACTGTAAATCTGACCCGTGGTTTAGCACAAAATCATAAAATATAATGTCCTGTAGTGCAGCATGTGGAAAATCTGCACCTTGGGAAGCATCAGGAAGCGTTTGGCCGAAGAGAGAAACTACCCCCCAGTTTGGGTGCAGCCAGCTATGGATTTTTTCTGCATTATAGGACTTGGCCGGGTTTCAGTGGGAGTTGAAGCCATCTTTAAAAAACTGAATCTCTTAAAAAGCTCCATTCTGTAAAGATTAAATGAGCAATCTGATCATACCATTGCTGTGGGTTTGGTTTGTGAGTCATGTAGTGTAAAGCATATTGGAAATAACAGCCCTCTGTGGTACAGCAACCCTCATGTTTTATGTGTCTGTATTTATTTATCTCTGTAAACACTGGCCGTGAAAACAACCTAAACAACACTGCCTTGGGCCTGGTAAAGGAAGGATTTGACACAATCACCCTTTTTGAATGACAGTTCTCTGGTGGGCCATCCTGGAAATAATACCAGGCTGCCTCTCACTCCTCTCTGTACAAGAAGAGCTGTCCCAGACATGACCCAGCCTGCCTCCCACGATGCCTCCTCACTTCCCAGATGATGCACTTTGCTGGTCTCACAGAGTTTTGGAGTTAACTTGGGTAGCAGTGCACAAACCTACACTGTGTCAGCCACTTGTTTCACATGGGAGTTGAAAGAGCACCCTGGGAATGCTCCACAGGATCGAGGAGTCAACCACAGCAGGCACTGGCCTGGTGCAGCTTTCTCCTCATTCTAATTCATGAAGTACCCATGAAAAGACTTGGGTTTGCCCCAAATTGTCTATTTAGTCTTCTTGTGGCCTGATTGAGAACTGTATGTGCGTTTTGTTCATTCTAGTTTATTATTGCTCCCTAATTCATTGCACAAGTTGTGTGGGGTTTGCTTTTTGCTGTTCTGTTGCTTTTTGCTGCTCTCTAATCAGATGGCTCCCACACACAGAAGGATGAGGGTGCCCTTTGAAATGAAGGGCTTTGTATGTGCAGGCACTGATCTGGAAATTCAGAGGATTTTTAATTTCTGGAGTCACTTTTATAGCTGGAATTCTCTTGTTCAGCAGATGTTCAGAGAGAGCTAATGAAGGGCGGAAAGGAAAGTCTGTATTTTACTTTGGGTATTAGCTACAACTTGTCTTTTTGATCCAAACCTATTTTTCTGTGTGCTGACATTTACATAAGCACAAATTGTGGTCCAGATTATCTCCAACTTTATGGAGATTCGCACAAATGAACTTTTCAGTTTGTCGTGTTTGCAAAGAGAGGGTTTCTGTGCTTATGTGACCGGGTAGGGAGTGAGGAGCTGGAGGGAACAGAGACTCAGGAGAGAGCATCCAGCTTTGGCAGGAGCCATGGGCTTCCTGGGAAGGGCTGGGCAGAGTCACAGAATCACAGAGTATCCTGAGTTGGAAGGGACCCACAAGGATCAGTGAGTGAATGGCCCATATGGGGATCAAACCCATGCTCTTGGTGTTATTGGCACCATGCTTTGCCCAGCTGAGCTCATCTCAGGGTCTGCCTTTATCCATTCCCATTCCTCTGGGGTCATGTAGGAACCCATGAGTGACCATGAGGCGTTTAAGAAACTGGGCATTTACAGGATCCTGAGACAGCAAAGGTGGGCCAACTTTCTAGCATCAGACTGGCCTGTAGGATGAGTGCCATGGCTGGAGGAAAGTTGATGTTTGTGTCATGAAACAGGGTACAAAGACACTGCTCACTGTGGGACCCCTCAGTGGGCTGGGTCCTGTGCTTGTTGTGTTGTGAGAAGTGGCTCCTTTCCCTTCCTCCCACAGGGAATTGCCCAGGTAGCTTTTGAGTGGCTGTTTCATCTTCCTTGAGCTCTTGCATTACCCTCTTCCACCTCCCTTCACGCTCTTGAAGGTGCCCTGGATCCCACCCTGGCATGGGAGATGTTCACAGCAGGGCAGGGTGTGTTTACCCCCCTCCTAGGAGGAGAGAGGATGAGGGTGGGGATGCCCTGGGCAGGAGAAGCTTTGGGAAGTTGGACACCCGGCTGGGTGGGATGTGCAGGGTCCATCAGCAGGTTTCTTTATGTGTGCAGGGTCCATCATCAGGATTCCTTATGTGTGCCCTGCTCTGGGGCTGCTCCAGTGCTGAGTGTCCATCCCAGGCAGGAGCAAAGAGCCTGGGTCTGATTTGGTGTGTTGTCTTGTCTCCCCCTCCATCTGCATCTGACCCTATAATCCCCTCCTCTGAACCCTGTGCACCAGAAGCTCTTGAGGTCAATACATAAATACTTCAGTCATTAAAACTGCCAGTTTGAGAGTGCAGGAGGGAGAGAACTTTAAATAAACCCTGGGTCTGGGTGTGGGGAGGCCATCACCTGTATCTGCCACCTTGAACAGATGGAGACTGCTCCCTTCTGCTGGTCCCTGGTTACCTGAGCAACCTTTCACCCAGCTGGGCTGGGACAAACACCTGCCTGTGCATGTTCAGGGGATCTGGCTCTGGATTAAAGCCTCTGAGGAGAGTGAAGGCTCTAAACTCCCTCTCTAGTGCTTTTTGGTGGATACACAACAGCAGCTGAGTTTTGTCAGCGTGACAGGAATAATGTGGCATCTGAATAATGTGGAAAATAGTATGAAAAGTCTTTACTTCAAGCCAAATATTGGTAAGGCAGAAAACACCATGAAAGGGCATTGCTGACTTACCCTGAGCTCTTCTGTTAAATTTTACTTCGTGAGTTCACAGCAGGTTGTAGA